GTGAACATCTGCTTGATGTGGAAAGTCTTCTTGGGGCCTGGGATGGGGGTGAGGGAGGAGGTATGGGGGCAGGTGTAGCACTTCCTGCGGTTGCAGGGAAAAGTGCCGGGTGTGGTGGGGCTGGAGGGGAGTGTGGAGCGGACAAGGGAGTCACGGAGAGAGTGGTCCCTCCGGAAAGCAGAAGTTTGGTGGGCCATTGCTGCTGGGTGGCCCCTCTACGATCCAAACAACTACCTTATTAGAGGTACCCTTTCTCCACTGAGAGGGGCCAGAGCTAACTGCCAGTCTTCATGCTCATTGAATAACCTGCCATTGCAGGTGAAGAGTCAGTAGCAATGGGAAGAGACCCTTAATTGTTTTTGGGATGACAATGCTGTTCTCCATCTTCCTCACCACTGGTTTAATGACATGGTGGTGAGAAACTGACAGGCTGTCCAGCACCTGTTATTTTATGGACTATATCCACCCTGCCTTCCAAGCTATCCTAAGATGGATTAACAAAATGCAACATCATGCCTGTTCAGCACAGGATTTCCAAATTCCTGCCTATTCTGAAGTCTCCCAGAAACGAACGTTGATTGTCCAGTTACTGCTGCAAGCAAATTGGGAGAAACATCTTTGCAATGTCAGTAGAACTCAAGTGGAGATTACAGCTGCTTCATTTAGAACTTACACAGGTTAGATCATCAACACCTTACTTACTCTGGCGCCTTGCAGTTCCCAATTCTACTGAGACAGTCACTTTCATATCAATGTATGGCAACAGTTTGTAAATATGGCCTTTGTGGAATGGAGTTATTTTTCCAGCATCAATAGCAGCAGAGATCCTACTTTATTTTTGAACACATCTGCAACATTTGATCTCAGGGACAGAGCAGTTTTCCCGTCACTACAGCTTCTGGACAAAGAGCTGTCCATTTTCCAACAGTCACTGCCACTTTCAGACTTGCCTTTGGGAGCTTCAACAAATCCCCCAGTGCATTTCACCTTTTGTTTCCTGCTACTGCCCTAATGCTGGCATACAGAGATCTGAGAAACACAGTCCTTTATAGCAGTTAACACTCTGCTGAAAATGGGGGACACTTGAAATGAAATGGGTATTTAGTCTGCACATAAACAGAGCTGAAAACTAATGTGCACGAGGGAATCTGCAAACTACAAATTGGCTTTTTCTCTGAAGTTTGAGTTTAAATGTGTAAATAAGTAGCAATGCTTAACAGATCCAACAGCAGGAACAATTTACAAAATAAATTCAAAACATTCAGAGCGTAGAATTGTCCAGCAATATCCAAATTTGAAAATGGAGCTAGATTTCCTTTGTTTGCATCCCACTCACCTCCAATTCTCAGACCTTCTTAGCTCATGACCTCTTGTGCAAAACCACAAATGGAAGCCCTGAACAATTGAAGATCCAATTGTTAGAGCAGCAATGCAACAACATTTGCAATCTGGGGGCAAGTGTCAAGTAATCGAATCATTACATCACCGACGCTCCAAGAATGCATTTAATGAATGTTGTCAATCTTTAACAGTGAGCCATTGGAATATACCATTGATTAGAGATGTTGGAATTATGGCCTTTTGCAGGAGAGAATTAGATTTCAGATTTCTGGAATAGCTGAATATTATAAGGGAAGAGATACCATGAGATCAGTAGGTGTATGTGAGAAAACAATTCATTGAGGGAAAGATTGGGAAATGTTTTGAATATGGCAAGAGTGAAGACATGCAATCAACTTTTCATAAGTAGGAGTGGGAAATCTTGTTGATGGAATAATGGATTGTGATAAAAATTCCAGTTCAGGGTTGAACTAGTTGAACTGGTTAGGTCGCCGGCTTGAGTCCAATGGGGCAGCTGGAAAAGCTGATGAAGTCTAGCCTGGAGCATGTGAATAACAATGAGCGCTGGCCATGCGGTGTGGTTGCTGGTGCAAACTGAATCTCATTTAGTACTTGACATCAGGCACAAAATTGCTCAAACAGCAACTGATGTCAATGATCGTGGGATCATCGAGAGCTGTCTGATAAGAGTGGTTGTATTGGTGGCAGCAACAACTCAGTGTTGTGTGTGCAGACATTGACTTTGCAACTCTCAAAATGAAGTCAGCATCATGATCTCACCAGGAAATCTCTTTGGTTAGGTTAATAATCTTGTTGGGTTGAGAGAGGACAGTATACAGAACTGAATTTTTAAATTTACTGAAGTTAATTATTAAAATCTCTCCCCATATTGTCAGGCTCAAGAACTGCCAAATAGTTCACACAATCATCCCACCAATAGTTGATGCAGATTAAATGGCTCATATAAGAATAACCAGGAAAATGTTAATAGAAATTGAACTTTTAACCTTTTTTTTCAGAGGAAGCATTGGAAAGGCACTTTGATTTCAATTTCCTAAATTGTGCACAATCACTCAGTCATCCTACGGTGGGCCAAGTCCCACTATAGTTTCCATTGTCAATCTAGTAGAATGCATTTTGCTGGTTGGCCAGGTATACCCCTCTTTCATCTCCTGTGTTGTATCAGACACTTCAGCTGGCATTAATCACTCACTGCCTGAAGGTATTGCAGGCCTTACCACAGGCTAGGTTTCAAAGTTGCCTGCAAGGAATGATTTCACTGCATTCCCACTGTACTGCCCCTTAGTTCAGGCTTTTAGATTTAACATCAGGTTGGATTTCTATTGGTGGTCGGAGAACAAATGGTTAAGTTGTCATACTACTTACAGTAACTAACAGGCCAATGAATGAATATGGCACAGGCCCAAACAAGTAAATCTATGTTTAAAAAATAATGGACAGGAGTTTAAGAAGGGAAGGTGTCTATCTCTTAATGCCTTCATCCATCTCTAAGTCATTGCCTTTTGGAATATCAGGTTTTACACACATTGAGTCCACATTCACTGGTGACCTGACATACCATAGCAGTTACTGATGTTCTTTAATTTGGAGCCTCTAATATTTTATTCAATATGGTAAAGGTAAAGCTGCCATAGTCCCTAAGAACTGCTCTCTGAGGGAGAAATGGTGGTGCTTTAACCTAAAGATCACCACACCTGATGTAGGGAAAGAGGTTGAGAAGGAGACTCCTTCACAGTAAGTGAGCTAGTGCAGGATTTGAACCTATGCTGTTGGTGGTGCTCATCCACATAACCAAACCCCTTACCTTATAACAACACACAAATAACAAACAAGAAAGAGAGAAAAGTCCAAAACAGAGAGAGAAAAGGCTGGAGAAACCCAGCAAGTCTGGCAGCATCAGTGGGGATAGAAACAGAGTTAATGTTTTGACTTTCGTATGACTCTTCTTCAGAATCTCCATTTTGGTTTCTGGTTTGTAGGTTGCAAAACTTTTTTTTTTAAATGAATTGCCTGACATGGCAGGAATTGGTCATTCACAAATAGATGAAAGGTGAATTAAAGAGGCATGCACTGTCACATTCACCTACACCTGGGTAATTGGTTTCACAAAGTGCCGCAGGCTTGGCTTTGTTACGGCTGTAACTGAACTGAAGACTATAGCAAAATACCTTTCATTTTTTAAACAATTAATATGGTGAGTGAAAAGCTGCACAAAACAACAAAGGAGCAGAGCTGGTCAAGTAATTGTAAGAGACATTTGAATGGCCCAGTCATGTTAGGTTTCCCCCTTATTTTCTTCTACACCTGAAAAGGGAGATTATAGTATTAAACAAACAAACCGTTGCCTTTGAGCACTGTGTACAGAGATTTGATTTTACAGCTAGATTCAATTCCAGATTTAATTCCAGATTTATAATAAAGAGAGTTGGGAATTTGCCATTATTTTTTTAAAAGAGAAATTTTGCAACATAGCATGAACTGTTTACTTTGCCCCTCTTCAGATACAAGCCATCCTGTGCAAAATAAAATCCTGCCTCTGTTTCACATTGAATTTGGATTGTTTTCAGGTCAATAAATCATTGATACAACCTGAAGCATTTCAGCAGCATTTAAACAACGGAAGGATATCAAAACCTTAGAGACCGTGTAGAAGAGAATTTAATCCTGATACCAGGAGCTGAAGGACTGAACACACTGGCTTTGTTCTCCTTAAGAAGAGAAGGTTAAGAGGTTTTATAATAAAGCTTTTGACATCATGAATGATTGTTTTTCTATATTTATCAATCAACAATGACAGGAAGGTTAGCTGGGGAGACCCAGATATAAGGCAATTGGCAAAAGAACCTGGGGACATAGACACAGAATGCTGGAGAAACTCAACAGGTCTGCCAACATCTGTTGAGAGAGAAACAGAGATAATGTTTCTAGGCCAGTGACCCTTCTTCGGGACTGAAATGAACCTTGTTTTAATTGGAGGTTGTTTGAATGTTCTTCCTGAAAGTGGTGGTGGATTTAGACTCAAGTCACTTTCCAGTGAGAACTGGAAATCCACAGGGGAAAAGAAACCTTTATAGGACTGTAGGGAAAAAAAACCTTGCATTAGCCACTTTTGTTACTATTCCCTACCAAACGGAAAGATACAGCCAAATAAGTACTTGATGTTAGTCGCTGCTGTAATGTGAGAGACGGGTGAACCGATCTGAACACAGCAAGATCCCACAAACAGCGATGTGGCCACCTGTTTTGGTGATGCTGTTTGAGGGTTAAGTAAGGGCCAGGGTACCTTGCTCCTTCAAACAACGTTCACACCCAGCCAGCTTCAACGCTAACTGCAGTACAATCATTGGAAAGCTCTTTCAGGTAGCTGACAACCTGGCCATGGGCCGAGTGACTTCCTTCTCCGCTGCCCAGCTTCGCAAAGGATCCTCTGGAGCGTCATTTTCACGTTGCACTGCTCTCGGGGAAAAGTCAGCTGGAGTTTACCTTGATCATGTAACAATGAGCAGCTTCGCACGGATGGCAGCGACACTGTGCGAACAGATACCAGAGCAGGCTGGAGATGGTTTGTGGATTATGTAACTTAACGTGTCTAACTTAAACAGCTGCTATGTCTTAGCGCCCAAACATTTGCCACCTACCTCTGTCCAGCAATACTTTCACAGTTCCCGAGCCCACTGTTCCGGCTCCCCCCAGGACAAGGACAGTGCGGTCTCCTGGAGCGCTCATTTTGGGCAAAGCTGGGAACGTTTGCAGCCACTGAGAATGAAATGAACACGACTGCCAGCAAAGAGCTGGTGCCTTTTCTTATATGGGACCTGGAGGTGTGTGCTCCGCTTCCCTACGTAGACACAAAACTCCTCCCTTCCACATCACACCCAACATCTCAGGACACAGTACAAGAACATCAACAGCAAGCTTTAAAACGCCATCCCCTGATAGAACCGTGTAGAGGTGGAACAAACCCACCGATACTTTATGGCTATCCCTGCCCATGTCCCTTAGATCGTATAAATGTTACATGGTCTTATGTTAGAACGACTCCTTCCCAAACAGTTTGGAGTTACAAGCGGCGAAATGCCCGATTGGAAACTGCTAATTGTGGAATTGTCATCTGGAATACTCCTGACTGTGAATGTGCCAGAAATCTGAGGAGCGGTGCGAGCGAGTCAACATTCTCCTCCTGAGGCGTGACTGCGAGATCAGACCAGAGTAAAAGATTGCCCACACACAGAAATACAGATCGAGAGTCGGTTTCAGAAATATCTGTCCCACTCTTCATTCAGCCGTCTGTCTAACAACTGCAATCTTCAAAAATAAAACTTTATCTCCTCCCTGTGATTATTTGATTCCTTTTGATCTTCAATCCTACTTGGTAGCAACCCAGGCGAGGTTTTGCACTGTCGAATGTAGTGTGAAATATTTAATCAAATTCTGCGTAATTTTGCAGGATTACAAAACTCTAACAAAGTTGCTGGAAAAGCTCAGCAGGTCTGGCAGCATCCATGGAGTAAAAAACAGAGTTAACGTTTCGGGTCCGGTGACCCTTCCCCAGAAGTTATTTTATCCTTCACAGATGCTGCCAGACCTGCTGAGCTTTTCCAGCAACTTTGATTTTGTTCCTGATTCACAGCATCCGCAGTTCTTTCGGTTTTTATTACAAAACTTTACCTAGCTTCTGTACGAATACACTGGGAGCGAAGTCCAGTCGTGCCCAACACAGGGAATGGGATGATGATGCACGTGTTCCTTCCTATAGTAGCACCCACTAACATTGCTTTGCCTGCTAATCATATTGGTAGCTACTGAAGCCCGGTGCTCAACGCACTGTTCAGTGTCTGCATGTCCCAATAGAGGGACCAAGTCATATGACGTTCACAATACATAAACCTTTGAAGAATCATATTGAAATCAAATCATTATTTCTGTTCCTCTCTTCAGAGATGTTGCCAGACCCATTGAGTCTCTTCAGCACTTTCTGTTTCCATTTCAGTCACCAGCATCTGTATTAATTTGCTTTCACTTCTTAAAGCAAGTCTGCAGTGCTTCAAGTCAATCTGAACCCCTTAAGTGGGGTGTATTCTGGCTGGTACCGGGCTGGAAGTGACTGGGGAAGTGTGGATGCATGAACGAGGCTGTAGGAGAGAGATCCTCAATCCACAGGGGCCCCCACTCTCACCCAAAGACCTGGTAAAGTTTAGGAAGAAGAAATTAAATTACCTTGAGAGAATGGGCAGGGTTGATGAATGCGTTTTCAAATGCCAGAAATGAGCCACCAGCCAAATGCATGGCTAACTCACCGCATTCTTTTCACTCAACTCCCAACAATATCTATAAAAGACCACTTAACTCTCACATTCATAATTTCAGCTCGCCATCACGCATATACCACAGCTGCAAGCCTCACACCCACATCTCACAGGGTGCAAAGCCTGCAAAGCCATTGCAGATGCATCATCTGAACAGGTGAAGGGTAAGGTGGTGCACAACCATTGGCAGCTGAAACTTTCTGACATGGGGTCAGTTGTATGTCCTCATCCTGTTGGCAAAGATGAGCCCAACAGCTTTGGAGTGGCCACGGCCATGGCTGAAGCTGAGGCTGAGGCCAACAGCAGAGTTGATGGCCATGATCACACCTAATCCTCCTTCTCACATCTCACTTCCCATTCACTCCAAAATCTCTTCTCATGTACGAGCTGCTGTTGGTTGAAAAATGCACCTCTTGCTTTCACCCACAAACCCACCCAAGTGCTTTCCTCATTTCAACTGGCCAAGACTGCAACCTGACCAGGCCCTGGTGCAAGAGCAAGAAGTAGTGAGGAAAAAGAGATCAATAGCAAAGAATTGATATCACTCACTCCGAGTCTCCCAAACATCACGTCAGACACTGACACTGCACATGTATTAGAGAACAGCTGATAGGTGAGATTGCCACATGGTGGAACTCTGGATTTATGTACCCACAGCCAGGCCAGAAGGAAAGCAGAGCGCAGATGTCAGTTTGCCAGAGAGCGAGATTCCACACAAGTTCTTAATGCAGACAATGTAGATGAAGATTCAGTCAGAGTAGCATAGAGAGATGTGTTGATGAGTAGAAATGCAGAAATGTTTGCTGCATTGACAGGCTTATAAGAAAAGCTTGTGCTGAGTGTTAAGAAGCATGAAGGAGTCCAGCAATGTTATGAAAAGTATGACTAATTTCAAGTCTATGTGTTTTGAGCATTCAAACATTTTATCCCAGCATATGCAAAAAAGAAGCTTATCTCAGTTACCCAAAGAACTATTGAAAAATAGTGTCTTTAACACACACACGTGTGCGCGCACACACACACACACACACACCCACACATATAAATATATATGTTGATTTTTTTAATATATATATATTTATAATTCTCACTTTAATATGTTGGTCCTTGTTATCTCAACTGTTATCCTTGGGTTTGCTAATTTGCATGTTAACTCAATCTCTGTGTCTAGATTCTCAGTTTCTCTTATCTCACAGTATGCTTACGTAGGCTGTATTATTACAACATAGAAGTACTTGAGTGTGATTGCAGCACTTACCTCAAAACAAGTATTCAATTTAATTTTAGCTGTGTGAATATTAACACCTCTCCTGCACGTCAGTCCCTCCTTTTGAAAGTCTGGACAAATGCAGTCCGACCCAGGTGGTGCATTCCTGAAAACCTGTACCACCAAAGGCTTTGAGATCTTATCGGAGTTTCAAGAACTTCAGATTTTCTGACTTAAAGTTCTCTTGTGGCTTCGTCAAAGCTAAGGACTCAGAATCACCATCTCATTAGATAATGAAATCTTCAGTTGTGTTTCTGTTTTTCATGCTTCCTGGGAGGTTGGTTTTGGTTGTCATGGAAACTGGGGTTCATCCTTTACTAGCCAACAATGCCACCTGCAACACCTGGGATACCCACAGCTGATACAGAGATTGATCAATAGGTTTGCAAGGGACACCATAGCCGCTGCCCATCCCTCTATTTCCCATGGGTTAGACTACATTCACATTATTTTGACTCAGTTATTAACCTAGTCCTCTATTATTCCAGCCACACTATAGACTAGGTTCCCCCACAGCGTACCACCCATGCTTGCTTGGCAGTTTTACATGGTGGTGGCTTGCACTCTTTCCACTGCAACCTGGGCCATTCTTCCAGGCACAGTCAATATTTAACAAACCATTTGACCATGGGATTAATATGTGACCCTGTCTGCAGGACTAAGTCACCCACACCCAGTGACCTCGAAGCAAAAGGTGTGATGTCATACACCAATCCTTTACAGATGACCATCAACAAAAACTACAGTGTAAGGGAGGTTTGGACTTTTTCAAAAACCTTGTTAAGCAGACTGAGTGATCTCATTTATTAAATATTCATTCATAGGTTGTGGGCTTCACTGGCTGGGCTAATATTTATTGCCTATTCCTAGTTGCCCTTGAGAAGGTTGTGGTGAGCTGCCATCTTGAACCACTGCAGTCTATTTGGGGTAGGTAGACCATGATGCCATTATGGAGGTACAGGACCCTGACCCAGCAAAACTGAAGAAATAATGATATATTCACAAATCAAGATGGTGAGAGGGGAATGTGATGGTAATGGTAATCCTGCCTGCCCTGGTCCTTCTAGATGGGTATCGATCTGGGCAGTGCTACCTAAGGAGCCTTGGCGTATTTCTGCAGTGCATCTTGCAGATGCTACCCATTGTTGATACTGAGTGCCAATGGTGGAGGGAATTAAAGTTTGTGCTTGAGGTGCCAGTCAAGCAGACTGCTTTGTCTGGATGGTGTCAGGCTCCTTGTATGTCGCTGGAGCTGCAGTTATCCAGGCAAATGGACAGTATTCCATCATACTCATGACTTCTGCCTCGCATATGGTGGACAAGCTTGGAGAAGCCAAAGTTAATCACTGCAGGATTTCTAGCCTCTGACCTACTCTTGCAAACACAGTATTTATACTGCTAGTCCAATGGTAACCCTCAGGATGGGATTGAGTGATGGAAATATCATCGAATGTTATGATAGCCTGGCAACCAGGCCAACATGAGAGACACTCACCATATATAGGAAAGGCAATGGTCTAGTGGTATTATTGCTAGGCTATTAAGCCAGAAGCTCAGATAATGTTCTGGAGACCCAGGTTCGAATCCCGCCATTGCACAATGTTCAGCACCATTCACAACTCCTCAGACATTGAAGCAGTCCCTGTCCAAATGCAACAAGATTTGGACAATATCCAGGCTTGGGCTGACTAATGGCAAATAACATTCGCACCACACAAATGCCAGGCTATGACCATCACCAATAAGAGACAATCTAACCACCATCCCTTGACATTCAATGGTGTTACCATCACTGAATCCCCCACTATCAACATCCTGAGAGTTATCATTATCAGAAGCTCAACTGGACTCATCACATAAACACAGTGGCTACAACAGCAGGTCAGATGGTAGGAACACTGCGGAGAGTAACTCACCTCCTGACTTCTCAAAGCCTGTCCACCATCTACAAGGCACAAGTCAGGAGTGTGATGGAATACTCCTCACTTGCCTGGATAAGTGCAGTCCCAACAACATTCAAGAAGATTGACACTATCCAGGAAAAAGCTGTCCACTTGATTGGCACTACATCCACAAGCATCCACTCCCTCCACTATCGACACTCAGTAGTAGCAGTGTGTACTAGCTACAAGATGCACTGCAGAAATTCACCAAAGATCCTCAGACAGCACCTTCCAAATCCACAACTACTTCTACCTAGAAGGACAAGGGCAGCAGACATATGGGAACACCACCATCTTCAAGTTCCCTTCCAAA